GTTTCTCCACCTACAAAATCAGGAGGTTGAACAAGATGATTTCTGATGCCCACTTTACTGCTCTGACATATATCCATTGTTCAGCAAACACATCCTGTCTCCCTTTTCGGTGCCATGTATTATGCTACGTGCTCAAAGAAGATGTGTCTATCTCAAAATATTTCAAGGGGAGGCGGGCACAATGTACTCGTTGGCCACAGGAACTCAGGCCATCAGACATATGTAAGCTACCCCTTTCCTCACACTATTGGGCATGAAGATGGTGGTTCTTTGAAGGAGTAAGACTCTTGAAGTCCTTCCCTTGCCTGCTCTGAATCATATATGAGTCGCAGAAGGACAGGTATACATAAAATACAGAACCCATAGCAAATGGCATCAGGAGCATTTAGCTGCCACAGGACATACTTCTGACTGCCAAGTTTGCCTTTGGATGTTTTCTGTACAGTGATGAGCTCCTGATGGCATCTCTGTGTAAAAACTGACTGTGAACAAGGTACAATTAGCAAACTAGATGGTTATCTTTTAAATGGGCCTTTGCTTTTTCATTTCTGTTTACATTATATGTTAACATGTTAGTGGAGTCAAAAGAACATCCTTAGACCACAGCCTTGGAGAAAGCATTGTTGTTGTTTGTTGTTGTTATGTGCCGTCGAGTCGACCCCGACTCATAGTGACCCCTCCTTGGGTTTCCGAGGCAGTATCACTATGGAAGTAGGATTGCCCAACCTTCCTTCCGAGGAGTGGCTGGTGGGTTTGAACCGCCAGTCTTCTGGTTAGCAGTCAAGTGCTTTAGCCACTATGCTACCAGAGCTCCTGGAGAAAGCATTACAGTACAAATATGTTCCTAAGTTGTGGCCTCATCATCAGTTAAATAAGGAGGTCTGTTTAAATACACTCTCATTATACAGGCCCTTCCAAAATGTGGTTAGCAAACTCATAGAACTCCAGGATGGAAAAGCCCTAACAAAGTATCTATTTCCTACACTGCAATTTAGTTTCAACATGTCATTAGCTCCACTTGAGAAGCACCTTTGAGAAAGAGTCTGAGGGCAAGCCTGGGCTTAATGGGAAAAAGATCAATTGCTGCTCTATAGTTAGCAGTTCGAACCTACCAGCTGCTCCACAGAGAAAGATGGGGCAGTCTGCTTCCACCTTGGAAACCCTATGGGGTAGTCCACTCTGTCCTATAGGATCACTACTGAGTTGGAATTAACTACACAGCAACAGGTTTGGTTTGGTTTGGTTTGAGCCTAGGAAGGGGAAGCATAAATCTAACACACATTTGAATTTCCCCTTCTGAATCTAAGCCCTCACTTCACAGATGAGGAAGCCAAGGTCCAGAGAGGTTAAACCACTTTCCTGAGGTCACACAGTTAAGTTTAGAGCAGAGAAAGGACTAGAACCCAGGCCTTCTGTTCCCAAGCCTCCTCTCTGGCGGGTTCCTTGGAAGACAGCAAGTACAAGATGAGAGGAAGAATGCATGGAGCCAGATTTGCTCTGGCAAACCAACAGCCTTCTCCAGTGGCATCAGATTTCACCTGGGCATAGGGACAGAGAAATGATTAGCAATCTAAAGGTTTCCAGCCCGTCTGTGGAAAAGAAATCATTCCAAGGCTACATTTCTGTGGTACTTAATTTTCCGATGGGCAAGGCTCTGCCACCAGGAAGATTAAAAAAAAAAAAAAAAAAAAGGTGGGGGGAGTATTGATTTCTGGATGTTTTAAGAATAAAGTTCAGTTCTGACACAATGAGAAAAACTTCTAATACTTGAAAATTAAAGTCATTGGTATTCCATTATCCCACCAATTTCTATTCTGTGGACGCTATTATCCAATGAAGTCATTTCTCACAAGAGATTATGGCTCAGAGATGGGGAAGGACTGAATTGCATTTTCTAACAAAGGTTCCTAATAATCAATTCCCAAGCCTGGAATATGAAACAGACTATGGAATTAAACCAAGTTAAGCACACTGGGGCTAGGAATGAGAGGGACCTCCAAATTAAAATGAAGATGGCTTCAAGACTGGATTTTCTTGCTTAATTTTGCAGCTTTCAGAGAAGTCAGCTGTCTGGCCAGATGCTGCTGAAATCCTAGAAACAATATGTGTCCTTTATAAATCAGCTCCCCTCCCAAGCTCTAGAGGTATACCCAGGATGAGCTAGCCTGACAATTATGTAGACCTACCTAGCAATGACAAACATTCTTAAATTGAAACTCTTTTTTCTTCAATCCAGTGGAGAAATCAAGGCGTTAGAGGACTGCTCAAACAATGGGTATGTTACCCTCAAAGAAACTTCTCTCAAACCCTCAAGGAGTAAGTACATTTTTTATTTGGATAAAGTCCTGCTGGACTTTCTCCTAGAGACTCTGCAATTATTTTTACCAGAAAGATCCCCAAAGTGCTCTAGGATGATTTTCAACAATTACAAGGGTGACAGGCTAAGCACAGAACTGGTCAGCCCTGTCGAAAGCAGCTCTGTGTGCTTAAGATGCCAGATTTTCCAGATAACAGCCTGATGTGTCACATACACATTTTGGTACATTAGGATGAGGGATGGAACACCACCTCTCAGAGAAGTCAGCCTCTTCCCTCAAAGCCAGCTGACATTCACACAAGGAACCGAGGGCAAAGCCCAGTGCTTTGTATCTGTAGGAAAGCAAAACAAAAAGGGGCTGTGTGGGAATTTGGCAGAGTGCTCCTGAAAGGCAGCAGATGAATGCTGAATCCTATAGTACCTAGAAGAGCTTACTGGGAAAATAACTCCATTCTGCTGCTCTCAGGAAGCAAAGAGAATAACCAGCAAAGCAAGGATAACCAGTAGGCAACTCCCATCACTACCACCACCAAACCCCTTCACCACTTTTTCCTCCTTCTCTTCATGGGATTCCAGAGGAAAAGAAAGAAACAAGAACTAGACCTTCCCAGGTGAGCCTGTCTGTCCATTTCAGTCAGGGACTCTGAGCAGCACCCAGCTGTTCCTCTGCCCTCTGCCCAAAACACTGCCTTCCTCCATCAATCCTCTATTGCACAAGTGAGTAATTTACTTTGAAAGCTCAGGCCAAACTGGCAGTTAACCTTGACCTTCTCTCAACACATCTGGGTCTATAGAAAATGAAAATCAGGACGTTTCTGGCCTCCACAGCAAATGAAACACGAAGGCTTTCTCCAGGCAGAGGCAGAATGTCAGGAGCTATTTTAAAACTGGGCACAGTTCTTCCAAAGGAGAATATGCAATTGGGCTGGACACACTCCCCTTGACCTGGGGTGGTGTCCAGTATGGAGCTCCAACAATGAGGGATGCTACAGGGGAGACCTGCGTAGGAAAGTAAAGAGAAGCTGCCATTCCACTCCTCATCAATTCATCAAGAGTATCACAGAGTGCTGGAGCTAGACCAATAGCCACATTTTACACATGGAGAAAGGGAGGCTCAGAGAGGGACATTGGAAATAATCAAGGGCACACACAGCATGTTAAGGGTAGAGCTGAGTCTAGAGCCCCAGTCCCTGAAGGTGATATAAAGTGAGGACAGAGAAATAAAGAGGAAAAAGATTTCATTAAGGAAAATTCCACATGGATACAGAATTTAAGAGAGAGAGGTCTAAGTTGGCTGTCAGGGTTTGAATGAAGGGTTTAGGAAAGGAGTTGCTGACCTTAGTTTCCATTTCCAAACAGTAAGTTCTACCAGAAGCATCCAAGTGGCCCCCTCTGGGATGAGTTGCAGCAAGTTGCACTCAAAACTGGTAATCCTGTCACAAAGAGCCCCCAGTGTTCAAGATGCCAAAGTGCCAGATAGCAGCCTGACATCAGAAGAGAAAAAGAAAGTCATCAACCTCAAAAAGTCAGCCTCTTCCTTTGATGCCAGCCAATAAGTCTGACTCTGATGAACAAATTATGTACTTCCCATGGGGCCAGGGAAATCCCATAAGAAAACCTGGAACTGTCCACTGTATTAAACAGTGCAAGCATGCATATGCTCATTGGTGCCTTCCTTGTGCCAGGCCTCAGCCAGAAGCTGGGAAGGTGGGAGTGATTCGACACAGCTTGTACACTCAGGAACTGGTAGTTTTGTTAGTTTAAATTGCATGCACACAAAAACCACACATGGATGAGTTCAGAGGAGGCAGAAACAATTAAGGTCTCAGTCTTGGCTGCAAGAATATCACACCTAATCAGACTGGACAAGTTCAGAAGGGGTCATGGGTACTTGGAAAAGGGTTAAGGAAGGGATCTGGTGTTTCAACCTCAGGGAACCCTGCACTAATAGCCTCTGGGAAATTTTCGGGTCCCTCCACTAGGGCCTCCAACTTCTGGACTCCCAGAAGGTCAAAGGCAGCAAGCTCCTCAAGGACTGGGAGCTCAACTCCCTTCCCCAACCCTAGGGGCCTGAAGATCCAAGGTGAGCACGATCTTTGCATCCTTCCAAGGAATGGGCAGGAGTTTCAGAGGAATAAGGCTGGGGAGAAAGCAAATGGTGAAAAGAGGACCCAGGTGTCTCATTCAGCTGGTGGAAAGCCAGAAAAGTGGCTGACCTAAGTAGAGACCACCTGGATCAAGCAGGTGTGTGTATGGCAGGGGGGCGGAGGGCGCGCACAGAGGACTTGGACACCAACTAGAAGGACCGCCATCTCCATTCCTATCGGCAGAAGGAGACATCCTAGGGATACAGGGAGCAACCAACAGAGAGATGAAGGAAGAAGTGCGGGGATACCAAATAGGGACAGAAAGGAGGATGGCAACGCATAGTAAGAGAAAGAGCTCTGTAGTGGGCACCAAAACTAGTTCTGGGTTCTGGTTCCGGTCTCTGCCTGGCGTGTGGCCTCGCATAAATAAATTCCCGTTCTTGGCGCCTCTATTTTCCCATCTGGAAAAGGGAAGAGCAGAGGAGTCTCAGGCGCTGACTCTGAACAGGCAGACACAGAAAGGAACCGCAGGCGAAAGGTGAATTTGGAGAAGTGTTACCAACCCCGCGGGTTTCCATGGGAACTGAAGGACTCACCTGTCCGGCCGCCGGGGCCACTGCCGCCCCTGCTCCCCCAGGGGTGCCGTCGGGCTGCCGCTCGCGGTACAGCGCCCAGAGCCCCACGTTGGGCAGGAGGACCAGGGCCGCCAGCACCAGCGCCACCGCCTGCAGAAGCCGCTTCTCCTTCCGCCTCATCGGGGCCGGTCAGCCCCACAGCGCCCCGCCGGCCCCGCTGCGCCGCCCCAAGCTCCCCGCGTCCACCCGTCCGCCCCGCGGCGGCAGCAGCTATACGAGAAGAAGCGGCCGCGGCGCCGGCCCCGCTCCAACTCCGCGGCACTTCCGCCGCTCGCCGGCCGGGGAGCCGGGCGCCGCCAACGCGCTGCTGTCGCGGGGGGATTGCTGCCGCCGCCAGCGCTGGCTTCGCGCCCCGCTGCGCCGTGAACCAGGGCCACCCTCCTCCAAGGCGGTCACCGCACACAGTTGACCGTCGGCCAGCCTTCTCACGGCGCGTCCTGGTCGGACCTAGCGTGACAGAATTCGAAACTGGTCCGCTATCCCCTCTCCGGCCGCGATGGTGCGGCCCTCTCCTCGGCTGCTCCCCCACCCTTAGGAGCTTAGCGAAAGTCCCGGAGTTGAAGAGTTGGGCGCAAACTGGCGTGGACTGGGCACTTGCGGACAGGGTGCGTCTTCGTGCGCTAGGTCTTGCCCTGGGACCCCAGCGCCCGGACTTGAAACCTCTGCTCTGACATCCAGCAGAGAATTTGCGAGCTCCTTGGTGATGTGCAAATACTGCTAGAACCCAGCTGGATGCTCTGCGCCTGCAGCCCCCGGGGCTGTCGCTTTCCACATCTCCTTGGCTCGGTTTCGATAACTTGCGGACTTACTCTGACCCCAGGGGATTCGGTGTTCCCACCCGTGAAATGGGGCCACAGCTGCACTATTCTGCAGGAGGGCCCAGTCTTTATTCCGCTCCAGGCCCTGACATTAGGTGTGAATGCCCTCTGTAGAGTACGAAGCCAGCCTGCCACCTGTCTGTTGTCCCTGAAAATCTATGGGGAGGTGACCAGAGCCACCCTAGAACCTTTACTCACACAAGTCCAGCCTCCACGGAATTGAAATCCCTACCAGTCCCACGTGTTCTTCTAGGCGCTCAGCGCAAGAAGGCTTTCCCCAAATCCTCTTGTCCACTTCTATCTCCAACAGTGAGCAAACCCTACTTGGCTGCTAACCAGAAGACTAAAGGTTCCAACGCACCAGCCACTCCTCCGAAGGAAGTTTGGGCAATCTATTTCCGTGGTGATACCGCCTCGGAAACCCAAGGAGGGGTCGCTATGAGTCGGCATGTAACAACAAGGCTGTATGCCAGACACTTGGGGGCACCAGCATGAAATGAAAACAGACTCAGACCCTAACCTCTGGGAGTTGTCATATTAAAACGTAATCTTACTCATTAGACTAGGGAATGGGGTGAAGACTCTGAAGGAGTCCAACCGCCGGGGCTCTGCAGAAGGCCTGAAGCCAGATGATGGTGCCTGTGGCCCCTCCTGGGGTGATCAATGCTCCTCACTTAATTGCTTCTTTGGTGCAGAGGGATGTGGCGCCCTCTTCGTTGCCTTACTCTCTGCCCACTCCACCCCTTATGTGTCCTCTTGATTCTCTGCTTCTCCCAATCAACCACTGACCCTGTGTCTACCGATTCGCCAGCCCTGGTCCCATGTGCTTATCACTCCTGCCTTCTAATTCCTCCAGGTCCAGGCTGAGCATAAAGGTTCAGTTTTCTGAAATCACAGCTCAGATCTTGATGTCTACTCAAAACCTTCAAGGCTTCTATCACCTTGACTGTAGAGGCCACACTCCTGGGACTGACTTGCTAAGGCTGTTCAAAGCTTCTTTTCCTCTTTTCCCTACTCACACCCTGTGCTTCACTCAGCATAGTTGCTGGCTTCTTCTTTTCCTTCAATGTGCTGTTGACCATAAAGTTTCCCTCAGTTCTTCCTCATCTCTGTTGGTGGGAATCTTGTTCATTTTTCCATGCCCATCTGAATTTCCACTTCTTCCAAGAAGTCCTCCAAGACTCCTCCTCAGGGAGCTGCTGTTTTTCTTTCAATTTCTGTCATGGTAATGCTTACCTTTTAGGGTTAGCATTCTCAAGCTGAAAGAACTGAGGAAAAAATTTAAGCCTTGAGTTGAAATATTGAAAGATTTTATGGGCAAAATATTGAATGATGCAGGAAGCATCAAAAGAAGATGGAGGGAATACGCAGAGTCACTGTACCAAAAGAATTGGTCGATGTTCATCCATTTCAAGGGGTAGCACATGATCAAGAACCAATGGTATTGAAGGAAGCAGCCAAAGCTGCACTGAAGGAATTGGCAAAGAAGAAAGCTCCAGGAATGGACAGAATACTCATTGAGATGTTTCAACAAATGGGTGCCACACTGGAGGCACTCACTTGGCTATGCCAAGAGATTTGGAAGACAGCTACCTGGCCAACTGACTGGAAGAGATTCATATCTGTACCCATTCCAAAGAAAGGTGATCCCATAGAATGTTGAAATTACCAAACAATATCATTAATATCACATGCAAGTAAAATCTTACTGAAGATAATTCAAAAATGGTTGCAGGAGTATATTGACAGAGAGCTTCCAGAAATGCAAACTAGATTAAGAGGAAGATGTGGAATGAGTGATATCATTGCTGATGTCAGATGGATCTTAGCTGAAAGCAAAGAATACCAGAAAGATGTTTACTTATATTTTATTGACTGTGCAAAAGCATTCAATTTTGTGACTAATAACAAATTGTGGATAACATTGAGAAGAATGGGAATTCCAGAACACTTGATTGTACTCATGAGGAACCTGTACACAAATCAGGAGGCTGTTGTTCAAACAGAACAAGGGGATACTGCATGGGTCAAAATCAAGAAGAGAGTGTGTCAAAGTTGTATCCTTTCACCATACTTATTCAGCTTGTATGCTGAGCAAATAATCCAAGAAGCTGGATTATATGAAGAAGAATATGGATTGAAGGAAGACTCATTAACAACCTGAGATATGCAGATGACACAACTTTGCTTGATGAAAGTGAGGATGATTTGAAGCACTTACTGATGAAGATTAAAGACTACAGTCTGCAGTATGGATTACACCTCAATATAAAGAAAAAAAAAATCCTCACAACTGGTGCAATAAACAGCTTAACCGTGGATGGAGAAAAGATTGAAGTTGTCAAAGATTTCATACTACTTGGTTCTACAATCAACACCAATGGAAGCAGCAGTCAAGACATCAGACGATGTATTGCATTGGGTGAATCTGCTGCAAAAGACCTGTTTCAAGTGGTGAAGAGAAAAGATGTCTCCCTGAAGACTTGTTGTTATGTGCCATGGAGTCATCTCCAACTCATAGCTATCCCTCCTTGGGTTTCCAAGGTTGTATTACTATGGAAGTAGATCGCCCAATCTTCCTTCCAAGGAGTGGCTGGTAGGTTTGAACCACCAAACTTCTGGTTAGCAGTCAAGTGCCTTAGGCACTGTGCCACCAGAGTTTCCTAATGTGCGCCTAACCCAAGCCATGGTGTTTTCAATTGCCTCTTATGCATGTGAGAGCTGGAAAATGAATAAGGAAGACTGAAGAAGAGTTCATGCTTTTGAGTTTTGGTGTGGAGAAGAATGCTAAGAGTACCATGGTCTGCTAAAAGGACTAACAAATCTGCCCTGGAAGAAGTGTAGCTGGAATGCTCCTTGGAAACAAGAATGGCCAGACTTTGTCTCACCTACTTTGGTCATGTTGTCAGAAGGGACCATTCCCTGGAGAAGGATATCATGCTTGGTAAAGTGGGGGGTCAATGAAGAAGGGGAAGACCCTCAGTGAGATGGATAGACATAGTGGCTGCAATGATGGGCTTAGGTATAGCAAGGATTGTGAGGCTGGCACAAGACCAGGCAGTGTTTCATTCTGCTGAGCATAGGATCGCTGTGAGTTGAAGACAACTCGACAGCAAACTAACAACAACAACAAGACTGCACACTCTTTTATACCTAAGATCCTCGTCCTATGTCTTTTATACTGAGGTTCATACACAGTGTTAATGTAGTTGAATTTTCATCCTATCCTTGCAAGAGTGGAGATTCCTAGAGGGAAAGACAATGTTGCAAAATTATTTTGTTTTTCCACAGCATCAAGCACAAGGTGGGACACATAGCAGCAAGAGTGATCCTTTTACAAGCATAAGGCCCACTTTGCTCCTGAGAACTCAGCTGTGGCTTTCCCTCTCATTAGAATAATCTATGAGAATCCTTACCACAGTTCATGAGGTCCTACACCATGTGACCCTACTTCTAGCTTTTACCCTCTTCTCCCTTCTAGTTACACTAACCTCCTTGCTATATTACTCAAACACACCAAGTTGCTTATCCTTTCATGGTCTTAAAGTCACCAAAATAACTTCTATAAAATTTTTGTTCAGTGTTTCAGGAATATCCCTGTAGCTAGTTATAACAACAAGAACATTTTTCATAAGCCCAAGTTACACATATCAATATACCTACAAGGCTAAAATTCTATGCTAATTTACTTTTTGAAGCATTGTGGAGAGTGATGCCATGGGTTACTGCACTGGGTGACACCAGCCCTAGTGATGCAAATGCCTAGAACTCTTTTCCTTGACACATTTGCATGACTACTTCCCTCCCTTCACTCAGGAACCTGATTAAATGTCTTGACTTAGAGAAACTTTCCCTGCTCAGCTGATCTAAAATAAAAAATGGTGCCCCCATTATCTCCATTTGCTTGGTTTTTCTTCAGAGCAGGAATCATTTTTGGTCTGTCCTTTTGGATGTGAACTTTCAGCAAACAAGAACTTTACATATATATTTTTGCCCATTATAACATCCCCTGCTCTGGTAGCACAATGCCTAAGGCATCTGACTGCTAACCAGAAGGTTGCTGGTTCAAACCCACCAGCCACTCTGTGGAAGCAATACTGGGTAATCTACTTCTGTAGAGATTTACTGTTGTTCTTAAGTGCCATCGAGTCGGACCCGAGTCATAGCAACCCCTCCATGGGTTTCCGAGGCGGTATCCTATGGAAGTAAATTGCCCAACCTTCCTTCCAATGAGTGGCTGGTGAGTTTGAACCACCAGCCTTCTGGTTAGCAGTCACGTGCCTTAGGCACTGCACTACCAGAGCTCCCTGTAGAGATTTACTGCCTCAGAAACCCAGTAGGGGACATTATGAATTGAAATAAACTCTGTTGCAGTGGGTTTAGGTTTTTTGGTT